ATTAATTGTTACTTCATTAATAATTTATTAAAATCATCAATAAAATCCTATTTCAAACTTTTTATCATTTCCTTCCAATTTATGAGCTCTAGCAGGTTCAAACATTGGAGACAGCCACATGATAGTAATGGATGAGAACATACATATCTAGGCCAAATTATTCAGTAAAATATTGAGTTTCTAAGTGGATTTGAACATATAGCCCTTAGAATGGCTGGCTAATGCCATTACCACCTTTGCCATCCAAGCTATTGAAGTTTTTACATTGAAATTACCAGAATTTCTTTAATATTTTTATTATTAAAAAAATCCTATTAACAGAAGAGTTAACTGCATATTATGAAAAATATTTAAGTGAAGATTTTACTACAATTCATTCTTTTCTTCCAAATGTAATACTATCAATAAAGTATCAAGATAATTGTATACTGTGTTTAAAATAAAAGTGTATTATAGCAATATATGATACATATGACACAGAATATCTATTATATTTTATCTTTCAGTAAATACTGCTATTTTTAAATTTATATACTAATAATTTAGAATTATTAATACCAAACTTAAATTTTTATAATATAAATATATATATATATAATTTTTAAAAGTTCTTAATATTACACTGCATTGTTTCTCCTTAAACTTGGAACATAATTAAATTTTATCTTCATTAAACTTTTAGGGACTATAGCAAGTTAATTTAAGTACATAGTAAATATTTGAATGATATGACAATTAAAAAAAATTAGAAAATCCTGATTTAAGTAATTAAAACAGTAATAAAAAGTTTATTTATCTATGAATTTATTTTACTTTATTTGATTTCTCTATTTTTATTTTATTTTTCCTAATTTGAATTTCTTCATTTTAAATTTCAAACAATTCCACTCATTCTGTAAGTTGAAGATGACCAAAGACATGGTCAAAACATTCCTGACTAAATAATCTGTTTGGAAGCCAGAATTTTAGCAGTTGTTCATCATTTTTATTATAATTGTGCCAAGTTTTGTTGACTTTCAGCATAAAACAGTAACGTTTTAGTATGAAGGATGTGATTTATAAATCATTATTTTTTTAAAGTAAAGTAAACTGGTTAAAACACAATTAAAAAAAAACCCACCACCAAAATTATTGTCATTATTAGTGAAGTCTTATCAGTGCTACTGCAATTGAACTGTTATTTGCATTTCAGCATAAGAATTTTCTATAACATTATTTTAATTATGATTTAATGAAGTATAATTTGATATTTTAAATGCAGAATTAAGAATTAAAATAATGTATTTCATTATATTATGAAATAATTTGAATAAAATTTGAATTTTGTCATATCATTAATTATAAAATAAATAGCAACTACTAAAGTTTAAAAAATTGTAATAAATGTAAAAAACAAAAAGGTTAAATAGGCCAGAAAAAAATTAAAATTAATAATATTTTAAATTATATTTTTCCTGAGAAATAAGTTAGAATAAAATTGAAGAAAAAAAAAATTCCATAAAAACACATTTCATTGAATTATATCTTAAAGTATGCAACAGATTAATTATTGTTTCCTTTTTTCATTGGAATGATCATCAATTGAAATCTCTAGAAAGTTTTTATAAAGCAATAATATTCAAATTGTTCTGTGGAATTCTAAAATCGTACAAGTCATATTCATAAGTTCTATAAGTACACTTTATGATAAAATGATTATTGAGCTGCAATTTGAGAAAATTGTAAACATATAAATTCCCACTGTCCACCTGCCTTTCCTTAATCTCAAAAATGGAGTTAGATGAAAGAAGAGACCAGATATGGTAACCTTAGGGGCAGGAGGCCTCAATTAACTATATAAGAACCTCTGAACAAATTGGAAGTCATGTTATTTCAATTCAAAATTTTCCCCCGAAAAGTGTTAGATAGATGACCGGCATGATTCTATTGTTAAAGGAAAAGTATGATGTACAGGGGCAAACTACTACTAATTTGAGGTGGAGAGCATATATTTTAAAAGAAATAAATTAAAAATATGATTAAAAATTGCAGCCTGGCATTGTGACGATGTCACAATAAATATTTGTTCATTTTGATATTAAAAATTATTACTGTTTTTATATGACTTTTTTAAAAATGAATTTATATAATAAAAGATATTCATTCAAAAATTCAAAATTTAAAAATTATTACAATTCAAATCCTAATCTTCAATTCTTCGTCATATAGTAATCTAGTTATTTAAATTTTTTTAATGTTTATTCCTGCCTTAAAATCATATTTTTAATTATATGATTCTCCAATAGTCAAATTTAATGAGAAACATTTCATAGATGTTGAAATTTTAAAGAACTTATAGGAATACTTTTCTAAAATCTAACACAGTGCACTTTCACTGATCCAAATTAGTGAAAGGTTTAAATTAGCAAGATTATAAACAAAGCAAAGAAAATCAAATAGAATTACAACTAAATCATATTTCTAAAAACAAACTATTTTAAATATATGTACCAAATATAGTGTATATTAGGATGTATTAATTTCATAAATTCATCATTTTTCAGAATAAATACTATCAAGTACAGAAATTTGTAAATTTATCAGATATTTTGGTTTCAATTCAAAAGAAAAATTGTTTTTCTTTTCTTTTTGCTTGTTTCCTGTTGCAACTAATTGTGACTACAGATACCAGGAATGGTTTTTTTCCTTTGTTTTTATCTGCTGTTTCATTAAAAACATAATAAATTTAATATAACTTTCTCCAAGAAATTTCCACTATCTATTTAATGTGTCATACTATATATTTTACCCACTTTAATTCTTTATGATTAAACACAGTTCAAATTGCACATAATCAATTATTAACTTGGTAAAAATATTTCTGAGTAAAACAAATAAACAATATTAATTCAGATTAAGTTGAGTTTGGATTAGTGAGATTTATTGCATATAGTATTTGTTATTTTATAGTAATTAATGATAAAAATAGTAAATTTAAATAAAAGATTAATCATTTCCAGATTAAGCTTAAGAGTTTCATCATCAATTGTAATTGAAGTAAAAATAAATTGTATAGATATCAATTATTTTCAATTAAAAAAGCTAATTCAATACCAATCAGAAACAATCTCTTTAAGAAGCCAAAACTTTTAATTGAAATTTTGTGATTTGTTTTAAAGTTCTATATTGTATTGGTCTTATATTCTTTAATAGATTAATAATCTACTATCTCTAAGCTCTGAAAATTTCTTCTTTCTACATACTTGAAGACAAAGTTGTTTTTACCCCTCAGGCTGTACAAACTCAGGCTGTACCCGAGGTGTAAAAACAACTTTGTCTTCAGGTATACAGAAAGGAATCTGTATAGGAAAACTAATCAAACAACTTTCCCATCAGCCAATTTCGTCTCAAATGGATTAAGCCAATTTTGCCCGATTTTGTGTTTAAAGAGTTAATCAATGTATATAAAACTGTATTAAATCATATCAAATTAATTAGTACAACAATTATAATTATTTAAAAAATACAATACCTACATAAGAACTTTTTGATTCATATAAAATTACCCATTTTTTTCCCTATGTTCTGTAATTTTCAGAGGATTTCCTATTTAAAAAGTAGGAAAGCCTCTGAAAAATATTTTATAATCAATAAATAAAACAAGCCAAAGAATAATAAAAAGAAATATTATATATATATTATAATTATGCATAATGCAAGTCAATGGATCAATTATATTTCAAATTTATAACAAAAATTAAGTAGTGAATTTTGTATTATGCCAGTTTTATTTAAATGAATAAATATTCAAAACTTTTAAAATATAGCAAGAAAAGTTTTATCAAAAAGTCAAAAGCATATAGTAAAACTTTCCTTGCTAGATTTTAAAGATTTTGAATATTTATTTATTTAAATTCAATTGAATCTATGGTATAATTATGGACTGATGAATCTGGATAAATTTGGTCTCTATTTCACATTGTCCATTGTGCTTATTGCCTCTATTGGAAGCAGTTTACAATTCAAGATGCTAATTAAATGTCTGAAATTGTAAACTATTTCATTTCTACTTTACAATAATCATCATTGAAATGACCATGAGAACAAAATTAAGAATTTATTGTTATATGTAATTATTTAATTTTATAGTATGGTTTATATCTAATTCTATTAAAAACTTAATAAAAATTATTAAAACCTCAATATTCTTTTTTCAGGAAAACAATAATAAAGATAAATTACTTTATTAGTATTCCAATTTTGGATATTTTTAATTCTTTAAACACAAAATTGGCCAAAATCGGTTTAATTCGTTCTTGACAAAATCAGCCAAAGGAAAACAAACTTGTTAAACTGGTTTTGCTATACAAATTCTCCTTGTAGCCTGAGGGGTAAAAACAATTTCCTCTCCAGGTATGTAGAAGAAAAAATTTTCAGAGTTAATATATTAATAAAATAGATTCCAATAAAGTAATTTCTTACACAATAGTTATCTCAATTGCTTTTAAATAATTTATTTACATAAATAATGAATGCTAAAACAGTACAAATGCAGCTTCAAATGAACTTTATCAGAACAGTAGACCATGCCTGTAGGAGTAAAAATGTCAAAAGGAACCGACATTCTACATATGTCCCCTGAAATCACACCTATCTAGAATTTCAAAGATCCTTAAAAATGCAATAAAATTTAAAAGCAAAAACAATGCTAAAAATCAACTGTTTTCCACTTTACTACAGCAGAGCGAGTATCTCACAAAGTGTCACAATCGGGTACAATTACGGCTCTCGACCAACACAGAGCACGGAGAATATAGGCAGTATACCGGTTTATCATAAAAACCAACTTTTGGAAGAGAATATCTCACAAAGAATCACACGTATGGGCTCCATTGACTCATTTGCTCGTACCGGGGTAGGTCTAAAGTTTGGGGAGTCCAAACCAGTCATTCAGAACTGCAATTTTGCCTGTAAAATGCATTAATCATCAACTAATGTATTATAAATAAACATTTACTTACCTAATTCTTTATGTTCATAAGTGAGTACTTTTACATTTTTTATGTGAATTTTTGGTATAATTAGATAATGATGCGGCGTGGCCGGTTTTATATCCATAAATGCAACGAATTCTTCATCCTTTCGTTCAAGAGAATCAGCTGATTATAATAATCGATTAAAAATCGTACTATTTCTTAAATAAATAAATAAAAAAAAATTACTAACAAATAATCCTATCGATCCACTTACTTCGTATAACAATTCTGTATCATCCTCTTTGTGTGCAATGGTGCAAAATATACAATTTGCTTCTTTCTCGTTCATGTTTAACTAAATCAGCTGTTTACGTTTAACTTCCCAAACAGAGAGCTGGAGCGAGATTATTCCTTTCGTAGTCGCTCGTTTCCAGATTATTCGTGTCGTAAGTCTTTCTTGATTGGTGAGTTTAGATGGGGGTCGGCGCTGATTGGTCCGTAAAGTTTTATGTAATCAACATTTCCCGCCAAATGTGTGCATGTGATTGTAGCTTAGTTGTTAGGAGTGAACCGTGAATTTATTTAAAATTAAATAATGTGGAATTCGTCAGGTATATTTGTTAATGTGGTGAATTTATTTCTTTAGTTGGTCGTTACGTTTATATTCTTCTGTTTTTCTTTAAGCTTTAGGTGGTGGAGGAATGCGTAACTCCGTTTTTGAACAAGGAGGCTTTATAAACGATACCGTCGGTTCCCCCGGTTTTGGCTCGCAAAATGAAAAACGAAAGGTATATTTTTTGTTTGATAATCGTTGGATCATGTTAAACGTGTTGTACAAATTATTATGATTTTTAAAAATTGAGAAGTTTATAAAAGTAAAAATAAAACATTGGTAGTTGATTTTTTTTAAATTTTTTTGCAAATTAATTCATAAAAAATGAAAAATACCCAAAAGTCTTTGCATTTCGTTCTTACCACACTTTGGGACATCCCAATCTTATGGCAGAGTCAATCTTTTATTGTAGGCTTGCATCCATCTCAATTTATTGATAAACTGATATTGTTTAATTGCAATTAATTGGGAAAATTGGTCAATTTACATACTGTATGTGCATCATATACGGTCGAGTCTGCTTAAGAGAGCACCCTCGGGATGCTGCATTATGCTTTGTTAACTGAAGTAACAAGATCACCCAGGGAGTTGTTAATGGTGTTCAGTTCTCTATACTATTTTATGTCTTAAGAGCTCTGTGTACACTTGGTGATGTTAAAATTCATTATTACATAATTTTGATGTATTTACATCTTTGCTTTCATTCTTATGTTATCAGTTTTATTGTTCTATCAAATAACTATTAAACAGTGCATTTACTACTCACATTACTTTCACTTCTTTCCAGAAAAACAGCAGGAGGCCTAGCTGAAAAGATGCAAATGTCTTTGTTTTGAAATTTCTGAATGCTCTTTAATGTGAAATACAATTTAAAAACAAATAAGTACAATAATGCTTTAAATTAAGGTTATGTGACCTCTGAAATGTGATTGCCATTCACTTCTTCCCTTGACCCCTTGAGATGGGAATGTACTGTACATGTGATCTGCACTGCTTGTCATATACAAGTATATCTTATGATATGTTTTTAATATGTAATTGCTTATAAGTGTGTCCAACAAAACCTGCCTTATTATGATTCTTTAAGAAATCTTTTGACTGTCTATGTATTAGTAAACTGACAATTGAAGGTTTCACAAAACTTCAATAAATAACCTGGTGTAGTGAATGCTGTTGCCATATGCCTGTGTACTATAAGATTAAAGATAAATCTTTCTTAGAATACTGCTTCCTTATGTGGACTACTCTAAAAATATTGCCAATGTGATGCTCCTTTAAATGGATTGCTCTAATAACCAGTACTCTGTTAACATGAGTCCTGTTAATGTAAAACATAGGGAAGAAAATTGGAAACAGGAGAAAGTGTTGTCTTAAACAGATTTCTCTCTTATCTGGTGCTCTGTTAAGTGGACATGACTAGATATCCATCAGTTAATAATGGTGTTTTTAATAACATAAAGAAACCATTATTACATAATAATTTATTTGTTAAATATAGTTCCTTAACAATTTCTGTTATATGATGAAGAAATAACTTCGCACAAAATGAGGCTGGAAAGTAATACTAATAAAAACCTCAATCAACTTAGAGCCTTTTCTTTTTTCTGTTTCCAGTACTGTGCAATTGGTTTATCATTAAACATTACTGGAAAGAAAAAAAGGCTCTAAGTTGATTGAAGTTTTTATTTATAATTTTTTCAAGTAGACTAAAAACTACAACATAATAATTGTTGTGTTCTTAATTAATATTATGGCCTTTCATGGGTGCTATGAGAGAATTGTAATGTCATTAATTTGACTTTCTAAAATAATATTTTTCCATTGTATCTTTGAGATTTGTCTCATAGTTCAAAATAGTTTATATTCTTGAGCTGGTCTCCAGCATTTTTACTTTAATGGTGAATAATGATACAGAAATTAAAAAATATTATAATTAATATTTACGAAGAAATTTAATGTTTATGGAGCACAAGTCATCAAGATCATAGAAACTGTGTCACAATTAACTTTTTACAGAAATTGCATCTTTTTAATTTTGTATTTCTCTTTGAAATCTGTGGGCCAGTTAAATTAATTAAAATTTCTAACTTTCTGTGGAAATCCTCACAAAATTTCCATATTGTTTTGTATTTTCTATATGTAATTTTTTCGTGTCTCCAACTGATTCTGACATTGCACCCATTACCTAATCCAGTGTTTTTCAACATTTTTATCTCTCAGCACATTTGAACCCATAATTAAATTTTCATGGAAAAAATTACTTGATTTAAAGTTGTAAACATTCTATTGCCATATTACTTGCCACTTAACCTAATTTTTTATGAATTAAATAAAACAGTATTGTTGTTTTAAGTCTATTTTCATTTAAAAGTGGCATGATAATTGCCTTTAGAAACCTCTCCAATGTCCTGCTATTTCTAAGTTAAAATAATTTGAACTAAATATGGATAATTATAGATACATTTTTGATTTAAGAACATTCTGTTTCTTTCTGACAGATTTCACACAAGTTCAAGTAAATTATGATTTTCTGAAATGATATTTTTATATTTTGAACTTAATTCTTTTGCTGTATGATTTCTAACGCTATGGCCAATAGCAATATGAGCGTTGTGCAATATGTCAAATATTTCTTCAGTATTGTTGTAATATATAATCAAATAACCTTCTTTTACAGGCACAATTTTTTATATTTTTCCAATAGATACAAAAGTATACTACTATTTTTTATTACTATAAGAAATACATTTATTAAAGCAATGATGACACAGATGCTTACTTGAATAAAAAAATATCGAATAATGGATTTGCACTTAAAAACTGTGAAATTTCGTGCGGAAGATTTCCCAAATTCTCAAATCATGTTGTACAAGGGATACTTGTATTTTAAAATATTCTTCAACATTTTATTTTAAAATTGAGTATTTTCATTGGTGAAATTAATGTTCAGGCTTATATTAACTACAATAAAATATTACTTATGCAGATACCTTCTGAGTATAAAATTTCAGGTCATGAAAGTGGGATTAGGACAAAGTACAGAACTGTAATTAGAGTATTGTAAGCAAATAGTAGAAAGTTATAAAACTGAACAATTAATAATAAATTTATGTAATACAGTATGTCCTTTGCAATACACAGTAATTCACACTTTCATACAGGGTAATGTATTAACCTTGAATAATTGAGTATTAAAATACAGGATACATATAGTGAATGAAAAGTATTTTCAGTAAGGATAATATTATTTCGTTCACTAGTACGTATCTATTAACAGGACTTATTAAACTGGCTTTAAGGATACTGCAACTCAGTTTCACAGATTAGAAAATTATTTAATTTAATTTACCTGTAAATTAAATTAAACAGGTAAATTAAATAAAACAATTTCCTAATCTGTGAAACTGAGTTGCAGTGTCCTTAAAGCCAGTTTAATAAGTCCGTTAATAGATACGTACTTGTGGACGAAATAATATTAAAATAAATTAAGGATGTTGAGGCATATAAATTTAATTTCAGTAGGGATATTTCAAGTAGTGTAGTGTAGTATAGAATGGAATTGTTTAGTGCCCATAGACAGAATCAATATGTTTATGAAATGGTAGTAAAGGTTTTATTTAAATACTGTATTTTAACTGGCAAACTTAGAAAATAAATTTGTAAAACAGAAGGCACTAAACATGCAAAAATGTCTGAGTGTCAAAAAAGTGTTATTAATTAAACCAGATTTTACATGAGGCTTGTTTATATATATTTTGTTTTGTTTTGAACATTGTGAACGATGTAGACCAGGGATAGTGAACCTTTTCGAGCCTGTGTGCTGCATACTTAGCATTAACTCTCCTCCATGGATTCAATAATGTCTCCATTTCCAAGTGCAAAATCTTCTTTCTTCAGGATTCCTTTTTCTAGGTGAAGTGTTTTGCATTTATCTAGGCCAAACTCCATTTGTGTATGAATGTGATTTTGTAGGAGTTGATGGAGTTGTTTTTGTGTGGATGCATAAAGTTTTATGTAAAAACCCTGGAGGCCATATAAATTTTTAAATCAGAGAACAAAGGCTACTGTACCAACTTTAAAAAGGATCAATGTGTGTCATGTGTTTGGAAAACACTATATGTGCAGGAGAACAATGATGCAATCACGTTATATGCTTGTGATAGTATACTGAATATGTTGGTTATTTAATATTTTTTAAGGTTTATTTTTATGCTTTTCTGATACTTTTCCTGTAGTTACATTGTTATTGCGTGATTTCAATATTTTACGTATTCGAATTTTTTGTTTTCTCAAAATATGTTAACATTCAAAAATGTTTGTCTTCAAACTTTGTTTATTATTAAACAGTATTAGAAACAAAAAAAGGCTCTAAGTTGAATGAGGTTTTTATCAGAAAATAATTATTTGGTAAAGCAGATTTAAAAGTAAAAAATGATGCATCATAAGTTATGATCATTTCTACATGTATAAGTCTTAAATAGTACAGTCTTTAAACAGACCGCACTGGATGGCCCAAACTGTAGCTATGCCACTGATGTTATATACTGTATTATAATTACTCGTCATTTTTAGGAATTACTTATTTAAACAAGATTTAATAAACTTTTGTAATTGGATGCAATGTTATAGAAACTTTATCAGTATCAAACAGGATTGTTAAAATATTTGAATTTGAATAACTTCAATAAATTGTTATTAAAAATGGGTTTCTTAATTTTAACTTAATCTTATGTTTAATATAATAATTCTAATTTCAGGTTGATAGAGTAAATAATGTAGTGCCTTGTACCATTGCGCAAATCTTGAAAGCACCGGATATGGATGAACATATGAAAATTGGAAGCATGTCTGCTCATATTGTATGCTATTTGATGATATTTCTGTATAAGTTATATTTATTTTATTATTATTATTTTTTTTTAATTTTGCTATATTAGTGGCAAATCAGTTTTTTTAACTTATTAAAAGTTATATTAAAATATTATACGAGTAGGTTGTGTAATATATTAAATTTGTACATTTATAAACATCTCAAAGCCTGATGATTATATTAAAGCCAAATGATTACCAGATTAAATTGGACTACATTACTACTGCTGATAATTATTAAATACAGTGGTACCTCGTACTTCAAACTTAATTCATTCAAGGAAGTCGTTCAAACTCCAAATCATTTGAAGTCCGATTTTTCCCATAAAAAATAATGGAAAGTAAATTAATTCATTCCCTGACCCCAAATAATACCCATTTCAATAAACTTAAAACTGCAAATACATGTTATTTAATGTAAAAATATGACAGTTACATGCTCTAACAATAAATTAAAATTTAAAAACAGTAAATAGAATATGTAAATAATGTATAATAAAATGAAAATTGCATTTACTGTTTGAACACATGACTTTGACATCTTAAACATCACAGCCAGATCCACCACACATGTACTGCTTTCATGTTTCATGATAGGTTTCTTTTTATTTTCAATTTTCTATATTACAACCTTCCTTTTAGACTTTGTTGCTTCCACACCCTTCTCAGATTCCATAGTTAATTAGTAAAAGTTATATTGAGTTGAATAGAAAGTTTATGCCTATTTTTAACAGCTGTCATTACTTAACATAGTTGTGTGATTTAATTATAACAGTCATGAAATTTAACATATTGCTAATGAGAGATTGTATTCTTTGGTTAGAAGTTTATTTTAAACTTTTTACTTCATATTTTGTTTGAATAAAATCAAGTCTAAATGTTTTCAGATAAAAAGCATATCTGGCATGCTACTCTTTATGAATTTCGGAAAGATATAAAGATTTGTAATGTGTATGCAGAAGGTTCTCCTAAGCTTCAAACCAGCAAGTATGGTTTAAAAAGTTCCATTTGGGAAATTTTGAACTAACAGATAAACAATGTATGGAGCATTCAAAAGATGTCAACAAAGAAAAATTGCAGGAAGAAATTGTTAAAAATCAAAAAAAAAACACAATTTATATAAACGCACTAAAAATTTATTTTTAGTGCATTAATATTTATACCGATCCCATTGGTTTTTAATAATTGAATTTATATTTATACAATTTATATAACCAAACATACACCAAAAAGAAGTGGAAAAAGNTTAAAAATCAAAAAAAAAACACAATTTATATAAACGCACTAAAAATTTATTTTTAGTGCATTAATATTTATACCGATCCCATTGGTTTTTAATAATTGAATTTATATTTATACAATTTATATAACCAAACATACACCAAAAAGAAGTGGAAAAAGCACTGAAACACATACAAGTGTAATATGTGAGAGAGAGAGGTCTTGCATTTACAGCTTGAGCACATTTTTTTATCCGAACTGTGAATAGTGCATGCACAGTTCAAAGTCTGAAGCAGCATTTAAAATCCGAGGCAAATTTTTGTCAAATTTAGCATTCAAAGTTAGTCGTTTGAAATATGAAGTATCACTATGTACTGAGTAATTTGGCACTAGATATAAGTGTTAGGCACCATCTCTTATTAAATTTAATAATTATAAATAAATTAATATTTATTAAATAATATATAAATTCTGGAAGAAAAGAATCAGCTTGGAGTGGGACTCAAACCTGTAGCTGCTGATTACCACACAGATGCATTGCCAGTTACACTACCCAAACCTCTGTTCTTCACTTCCAGACATATTTCATTTGAATATAACCATACTAGTTACTTGCGGCATGGACTGGGGATGACTCAGCACCCATGGTCTATAATCACCCATTATGGCACTCAGCTAGCTATTGCTTTACTTCGGCATGGTTTAGCCCAATTTAATCTGATAATCGTTTGGCTTTAATGTATTAAAATTGTTATATGTGGATGAAGTGATTGATTCCTGAAATTTTCAGTATTTTAACTGTCATATTTATTGTTGATAATTAAGTTCTTATGTGTTTTTTTCGAGAAATTATCATCAACAAGTAAGTCAATTAAAGTTAATATTTACAATATAAGAGTTGTACATCTCTCATGTTTATTAATCTTAAAATTACATTTACAGGTGCTCCCCTACTTACAAACAGGTTAGGTTCCTGAGATTTTGTCATAAGTTGAAATGTTTGTAAGTCAAAAACTAACCTAGAAAGTACTGTACATATGTGTACAGAATAACCATGTGTTGTTAGTGTTTGATCCTTTGATATACTTAATAGAATATTTACACTTGTTTACCCACTCACAGCTGCTTAGTAGTGGGTGTTTCAAATGCTGGTTTTTTTTTCTACCTAATATGCTTAATTTTATGATGTCCAGTTAAGTTTCCATGGTAATAGAGTGACGCTTGCATTTATCTTCATGCATTTTTTGAAGCATTAATCTTAAAAATTTATAAAAATTGCAAATAATAGCAGAAAACAATATTACTTTGACACCTAAGGGTGTGACTATGCAGATGCAAACAAATGAATTTTTCAAGTGAATGAGAAGAGGTGACGACATTTCACACATTCTGTTTCTCGCTCTCGTTTATTATGACCACATAGAGGAGAGTATGAAATGTCATTGCCTCTTCTCACATATTCTTACTAGTAGTAGTGGTTTGGGAAGCTTTGATCGCAAAATTAATTTTTCAAGTAAATTAATGATTTGTTGAGTAAATTAAAATACTAAATTTTTAAAAATATATCAATTGGATATATACTTCTAATGAAAAATTACTTTTTAAAATAAAATAAGAGTAAATTAAATTACAAATAAAAATTTATTTTTAGATCACAGATTTGTGGACAATAAGAAATTAAAGTTTATTATTAACATTTTCTCAAAATGAGTGGTAATTTGAAATAATTTAACACTGAAATTATTTTGAAAAGGTTTTTATTTTTACATTACATTAATACAGTTTATTTAAGTGTTTCCACTTCTTCCTTCAGCATATCTAAAGCGTGACACATTTCTGCCAGTAAGTGCAGGAATAAATTTTTGTGATTGTTGACAATATATTCTCGATTTAAGTTTTGATATTTTAAAATGTGACACCAAGAAAGTTGATATTGGAACTCGTTAATTCCGGGTCAAGTATTTGGTAGCAGGAAACAAAATTCCAGTTTAGATAATCTTTTAATTTATGTAAAGTCTCGGTTTTTAATTGTTGATATTTTAAAACTTTTTTTATATCAAACTTATGTATAAAGTGTGTAATGAAATTTTCAGAAAGAGTTTGAAATTCAACAATTTTATTCCAATAAAATTGTTCTCCATCGGACAAACTTTTACAGAAAAAATTTTATTCCAATCAAGATAATTTGAAAAATTGCCTAAGAATTATGCATCCAACTCTTATAGAAACATTATGCACCGCCAACAGAGATGAAAAAGACTTTCATGAATGTAATGAAATTAACTTTTCTCAAAAATAATTTTGTACTCAATTTCAATCTGTATTCAATTCAAATAATGTAGTCAAATAATATAAAAGAATTGTTTATTTCTTCATAGACAATATGCAATCCCCCTTTGACTGGGAAACTTTCTCATCTTCGCCCTTAGAAGAACATACCATTTGTCATTTTAAAAATTGTGGACTGGGATATCATCAGTCAGCGAAAAGATTTGCCTTGCACGTTTATTTTGGAATTCATGGATAAGTTAAACTGGAAATTCATGTGGAAAAGTTACAAATTCACATCTCATCTATATATATAAAAATGAATGTATGTCTGTGTGTCTGTCCTATGTCCTTCATGCATTACCACACCGTTTATCCGATTGCCGTGAAACTTTGGGAAGTTGTTTAATATACTCCAGCGAAGGTTTGTGGCATAGTACGATTGCCATGAAACTTTGGAAAGTTTTTTAATTCACTCCTGCAAAGTACATTTATCCTACGATAGATGGCGCACGTTTACACGAGCATTCGAGCAGTGTGTTCGATCAATTTCAAATTGTGAAGACCATTTCCCCCTTTCAAAAAATATCTCTATATATGCATTTGTTATTTACGATATTTGTAATAATTTTTGTTTAATCACTTTATTTCAACTTTTTTTTTGCTAATTATGTATTCGCTCGAACTTCGTTAAAACCTTAACTGTACCCCGAACAACAACCGAAGTTGTAGGAAGAAATTCGCGTATTTTACCGATCTAGGTATCCCCCTTTTCCAAATTTTAATATCGACTCAAAATAATTTAAAAAGACAAATTACAATAAAACGGTTTATTATCCAACTATCAGAAATTTCACAACATGCCAAGGAAGAGAGGAAGGAGCAATTAAATAATGAAAATTATAAAGGATTTTAAAAAATATATAAAAATGAGGAATATCGCACTTCTGACAATCGCTGCGAGTGTGTGGGTTAAATTTGGAGAATCCGTGCTTCTCACATGGACAACTGTATGTGGCCAGCTCACGTGTCGGAAAACCTTCTGATTTATTCGTGTACGCACCAGACGGAAAAACAAAAAATATCGTGTATCCACAAGCACTACAATAAATAAATAGAATTGAAACGACACTTTGAAATATTTTCTCGATGAAAATGAATAATAATAATAAGTTTCAATAAAAATGATAAAATGAAAATTTAATTTTATCATAACGAGTTTGCTTGAATTTCATTTCTTCTGAGATCGCAGCAATGCACGACGGGTAAGCTAGTATATATATAAAAAACTATATTACATACAAATAAAAACCCAGCGAAGCATGTCCTTGCAGCTAGTTTATTATAAAACATATTGATTATGCAAAATGGGATTTAATATGCCAAGATCAGAAATTAGACAAAGATTTCTTAGGCAATTTTTCGAATTATTTTGATTGGAATAAAATTGTTGAATTTCAAACTCATTCAGATAATTTCATTACACACTTTATATATATAAGTTTGATATAAAAAAAGTTTTAAAATATCAACATTTAAAAACCAAGACTTTATGTAAATTAAAAGATTATCTAAACTGGAATTTTGTTTCCCACTACCAAATACTTGACCCGGAATTTATTGACAAGTTCCAAAATCAACTTTTTTGGTGTCACATTTTAAAATATCAAAACTTAAATCGAGAATATATTGTCAACAATTACAAAAATTTATTCCTGCACTTACTGGCAGAAATGTGTCACGCTTTAGATGAGCTGAAGGAAAAAGTGGAAACACTTAAATAAACTGTATTAATGTAATGTAAAAATAAAAACCTTTTCAAAATAATTTTAGTGTTATATTACAGTAGAGCATCGATTATCCGAACCCCGATTAACCGTCACATTGGTTAACCGACCGTTCTACTCGGCAAATTTCAAATGTCCGCTAGTGATGTGGCACTACAATATTTGGCTATGTCTTGGCTACTTTAATATTATTTTTGTTAAATTTGTGCGTGTTTTAGCTGTCAATACTGGCTCGACCATTGAAGGCAGGCCAGTATTTAAACGAGACTTAATTTTTTAATTATGAGTGGTTGTTTGTTTTGTAATTATTTAAAAATAATTTTTAACGATACAATAGCAACGATTATTATTTTTTTAAAGAATTTGTTAGGCTTAACATCGATGAAAATTCAACGCAAAGTTGGTTAATAGCGATATACTAATTACATGGGATATACTAATATACTACACTAATAATGTGTTTTTTTCATTCTTTTCGGTTATCTGATTTTTCAGTTATCCGACCAACCTGAGTACCCAATTGAGTCGGATAATCGATGCTCTACTGTATTTCAAATTACCACTCATTTTGAGAAAATATTGATAATAAACTTTAACTTCTTACTGTCGACAAATTTGTGATCTGAAAATAAATTATTTGTAATTTAATTTACTCTTATTTTATTTTAAAAAGTAATTTTTCATTTAGAAGTTCATTTTGTGATTAAAGATTCCCAAACAACTAATACTCTCACTCGCTCGCACCTGCATAGTTGCAGCTTAACAGAACCTTGAAATTTGCATGAAAATGAAATTGATGATAAGCAATAGAAATTTGTCCATGTTATTAAAAATTTATTTTTTATTACTGGCCAAAACTGATTTTAACACCATTTCAAGAGCAGAAGAGAACTCCACAATTTACATAAAATTCAAATTTTGGACCTATGGTCAAATTGTTCGTAATTAGGGGAGCTCCTATACATATATTTAATAACATATACTTACAACAGTATTTACTTGTCTTTCTCTCCAATATTTGATCTTAAATTAACTAAATGTACATTTATTCTATATATTAGTAAAAACAAATAGGGTAAAAGGTTAGCAAAATTCATATTTTTAAGAAGAAAATATTCTTTGTAAATCTGAAAATCCAAGAATGATTAAAGGGTAAATGCTTAAATTTAATAGAAGAGTTTCAGTTATCTAATTGAATTTGTATTTTTAAATCTATAATTAAAAGAAATTTTTTATATAATATTATCTGAAAATTTTAAATGTTTATGAAATATAGTTGTTTCTTGTTTAACAAATTGTTTATTAAATGGAAACTTATTTTACTATTAGCATATTAGCAATGGACTGTAGAATTTAAAATATACAACAACCAAAGCTGAATATTATCGACTACAATACTAATAATTTAATAGACAATTTGGCATTAACTCTAATGCCAAATTAAATTATTAGTATTGTAGCCGTTTCTAGCCCGATAATATTCAGCTTTGGTTGTTGTATAGCTTTAAACGTATCGGGTGTAGTAAGGATGTTTGAATTTAAATTACTTATGTTATGAAGTTCTTCTTAAAAAAAATGAATATAAGTAGTAAGTGTATTCTTTTATTAGTTTTCTTCCTCCTCCTATAAATATAGAACATTCACTTTTCAAAGAAAGTTTATTGGGCTGCAATTGGAAAAAATTATAAATTTCCAGTGTTGTCCGCCTGTCTGTCTTTCCTTAATCTCAAGAACAGAGTTAGAAAGATGAAAATTGAGACCAGATATGGAAGCTTAGGGTAAGAGGCTCCAATTAACTAACTATATATGTGGAAACTGGAGGTCATGTTATTTCAGTTCAAAAATTTTCCCCTAAAGAAGTTAGATGAATGGCATGATTCAATTGCTAACAGGAAAAGTATGATGTACAGAGAGAGCCACCACTAATTTGAGGTGAAGAGTGCATATTTTAAATTAAATAAATTAAAAATATGGATTAAAAATTACAATCCAGAATTGTGATGATGTCACAATAAATAATTGTTTAATTATTTTATTTAGTACATTATTAGTCATTTAGCCTTAATGTGATGGTGACTCACATAAACTAATTAGACAGTTATCATAATATTTAGCAATGGAAACCGTAAAAGACTGTTTAATGAAACATCTGAAGTTAAAAATTTCAGTTGATACCTTATTTTTCCTTAACAAGTCTTTATTTGCAAGCTTTGCAATGTTAGAGATGATTCATTAATGTATTTTTTTCATACATTTAATTTCACTTTTTTCTGTCATCTATCAAATCATTTACAGAATTTATGGAATTTTTTTTAATATAGAAATCAGTTATTTGCATTTATATACTAGAACATTATATTTGCACATTTATTATTTATTTTTAACATTTTAGTTTGTTCTAGTTGTAGATAATCAAGAATTTACTATATTTTAAATTTGTCATTTTCTCAGGAAATATTTGTTTTCGAATGAAGTGTGAGTAGCATTTGTTAATGTTTGATTAATGTTTAGGAAAAACATTATTAAAAAGACTTAAAAAAATTTTGAGCTTAATTCATATATTAGCTTGATTTTTGGGAGCTATTTTTAACATTTTATTGCAGTGTAAAAATATATACATTGTTCTCTCAAATACTGATCATTAAAATAAAATTCTGTTTATAAAAAAACTGTTTCTGCTAATTTTGAAGAAACATTATGAATCATTTCTGATGTCAAAAGTTAATATTTTTATGTTTGAGTTTGTTGCTGGATATATATATATATATATATATCCAGATTGTTAACTCGATATATATATATATATCGAGTTAACAATCCACATAACAGCATATTAATATGCAATCTATGCCATTTATATCTGTTTACTGCAGAGTTCAGATAATTAAATAACTAATTCTTCTTATTTTAGTTTTAATTTAAAACTTTACTACTCGTTTATATTTTCCGAAATTATTTTATGAAAAGCAATGTCATTACCAAACAGATTTCTTCATCTAATATTTTTTACAAATTCTGGCAACTGTAATTAAATATATAACATTAATATTTTATATTTAGCCTTAGTTATTCTTTCATAAGTTAATTTGTTTTTCACTGTTATTTCCATTACTAAAATACCAAGTAATAAGATGACAATTTTTGCAATATCTAATCGTTTATAATGCTGATGTGCAGAATAACTCACTCATAATGGATTGGCAAGAAAATACATGAATTTAAAATTAAGAAAATAATTAGATAAAGATTTTTTTTAAATTGTACATGAAAATTTCAAATTGGAATTTAAAATGTTCTGTGGTTTCTGTTGTTGAAGATAGGGAAATATTTCTTAAACACTTTGAATAAAAAATTTTTAGACTTGATGGATTATTTTAATTGGAAAATAGTAATATAAAGTTGTCAGTGGCTTTCTTCGGAGGAAAAATTAGCTAATTTTGCAACTAAATATAAAATTTTTATTTTATATTTAGTTAGAATAATTTTTTTATTTTATATTTCAGTTAACTGTTATAGGTATGGTGAAATCAGTTGATGAGCAATCTACAAGGATTGTCTATACTATAGATGATATGACAGGTGCTCCTTTGGAAGTTCAAATGTGGATTGGGGAAAATATGGTTGGAATTCTAATTCTTTAATTTATCTTTATTTTAAAAATATTTAAATTAAACTTTGGTAACTAACTACTGTATATTATTATGATCTGTTTTATAACATATGAAAGAAAATATTAAGTAAAATATATTTTTATTTCAAATATAAATTCTTATTTTATATATTTTATTTGATTAATTTTAAATCAGCAATATGGTTTTTAATTTTATTAATATACTACACATTGAGATTTGTATTATTGCAATGAGTTGATTATGTTTTTTTTTTTTTTTTTTGTAGGAAGTGACTAATGAAAAACGATCTTCAATAATGGAAAATTCTTATGTACGTGTTACTGGGTCCATGCGCACCGTAAAAGGTAATAAATTATTAATTGCCTTTAAAGTATCTCCTGTGAAAGAAGTAAATGAAATAACAATGCATCTGTTAGAAGTTTTACATACAAATATGGCTGTTGCGGTTATGGATAGTCAGGTATTTAAATAAATTACATATTAATTTTACTCTCTTTAGAAGTGATAAATTTTCTTTAAGATAAAATTTAAAATGTAATCAAACAATAATTAGGCTCTGTAAAATCTAGCTGTTTAATTTTAAGCTAATTAAAAATTAATTTTAAATTTAATACTAGAGATAGCTTAGTTTAAAATGATTCAAAAATCAAAATATTTAAAATAATGGGAAAAATTGTTTTTAATCTTATTTTAATCATTAGATAATGTTTTTGAATTTATTTCCCCATAAATTTTAAATTGTTTAATTTTAAAACTTATAGACTCAAAACTCATAACTCTTAATGTTAAGCTTCAAATCAAAGAAGAATCTGATAGTTGATTATTTTTCTTTAACTGTTTTTGTTTTTTTCGGCATAATTTTGTCAATGTGTGAAATTTAATTTTATTGATAAATTTTTTATTAATTATTTTACATTACTAAATAATTATTAGAAAGTTGGTTTATCTAATATAAAGTTATATTTGTTTTACTGAAGTATTCATTTGTCTTCTCATTGATGTGAAATGCTTGAAGAGAAGCAGATTTACAGAAAACAAAACAATATAATTGTAAAAGGGTGTTACCAAAAAATCTGAAATATCAAAGAAGTTAAACTTTTTTGTTATGAAGTGTCAAGAATTGAATTTTTTATACCTGTAGAGTGCCGTAGTGTTCAAACAGTCAATTAATTTCAGCACTATCTGCCTGTTTTTAAAGACATTACATTATTAATTTGCTTTATAGCTTATTATTTTAAAACAAAATTTTCTTTGCCTTTCCATTGACTCTCTATTAAAGTTTTTATTATTTATAGTTATTTAGTCTATATCTAGTTTGTCTAGAAAGTATCCAGCCATAATATGAAAAATACAGACATTTATTGAAGAAGATACAAGAAACATCAGAATCTCAGATCAGCTTCTAGTTCTCACACTGTCAATCAGTCTACTCTTCTTGGTTGGCATGTTACATTGGTCATGTACATCATTCTCATTATATTAACAATGGCTGGATTTTTTTTCTGGACAGACCTCATTTGTGATGAACAGTTGCAAAATGCTGGGGTTGAGCCACTGAAAACACTCAGGCAGAGTACCCATATATACAGCCAAATCTTGATAAAATATTCTGTTAAATAATGTCAGAAACCCTCAGAAAGCACAAATGAATATTTATGAGTAGGTTTTTCCTTTTGGTATCTGTGAATTGCCAAAATAATTTTGCATTTCAAACATCATCAAACTCAAACTTGTAGATATAGTAATAAGATTTGAATTCTTATTGTTTTAGGTTCCTCAGTTTAGTGCTTCACTTGATTTAGTGATCATTTCAGAAGAAAACAAATGTAATGCTAAATTGAAAAGTTTGATTTTATGTATAATGAATATAATGGTGATTTGATTTTATAGGGTGTCATTCAAGTCCTTCATGCTGACAGCTACTTGGCACTAACATCTTTACTTAGCTTATTGTGGTGGCACTGAATTATTAGTGTTCACTGCACTTGGATTTTCTTTTATACCCTTTGGGGGATTACGGCCTTGCAGTCTAAAAACTGCATGCCAATATTAAACATAGAGGGAGCAGTAACCTTGTGTATGCCATTCAAAGGAATCCTACCTTTCTCTACAGTCTATCTCCTCTCCCTTTCCCTCTTTCCACTGGCTAAACACTTTGTGTACAGCCAAAATCTTTTGTTTAAGTGATTCTGATTGATTTTTCCCCCATAATGGAAAAAAAAGAATTTCACATTTTTAACTTTAGAAATAGTTTACAAGGTCTGTTCAAAAAGTATCGGACCTTTGGTCGGCAAAAATAAATTTATTGACTTTGAGGTACAAAACCCTAATCCCCTTCAAAGTAGTCTCCTTGGTAATGTATACACTTCTCCCAGCGTTTCTGTCATTTCTGGAAACACTGCTGGAACGCATCTTTTGGAATGTTTATCAGCCGGTCCGTCACATTTTGCATGATGTCTTTTCTCGACTAAATTTGGGTTCCTTTTAGCGGTATTTTCAGCTTGAGAAATAGCCAAAGGTCACACGGAGCCACGTGGAGAGAGTACGGAGCATGATGAACAACAGGAGTATTGTGTTTGGCGACGAAAGCCCGAATCAGATGCGCAGAATGGGTGGATGCGTTATCACGATGGAGCTGCCAAGTTTTGATCGACCACAGATCCGGTCGTTTGCGTCGCAATGTATCGGAAAGACGACGAAGGACCTCCTGGTAGTACTCCTTTGCGATGGTTTGGCCTTGTGGTGCGTACTCACGACACACCACCCCACGAGAGTCGAAAAAACTGTCAACATGACCTTTGATATTGCTGCGGACCTGCCGCGCTTTTTTTGGCCTCGAGGATCGTCCCCGAAAGCCTGCTGAATCTTGCGAATGGTTTACACTCGGGTATCGCCAAGGTTTTTGGCAAAATTTGATGTAATATCGCTGCTCACGTTGTTCAGTCATTTTTTAGCTTAGTGAAATCCAACGAGAGCACACTACATGACCTCACTCATACGCCGATTGCCAACGACTGACGCTTCCTGCAGGCGGGAAAAATTTCAGGGCTGTGCATGACTGTCCCCTCCACAACGCCACCGAAGGAGGCCTCTCTCGCATCATTGGTTTACGCGGAAAAAAAAAAGGTCCGATACTTTTTGAACAGACCTTGTATTATTGCTAATATCCTCCATTTATTGTCTTAATTTAGTCGAATCTTAAGGAGTTATATTTAAGTGAATTTATTTGTGTTATAAATTGCTTATTATAATATAGTTTTATTATATACAGCCATTATAGTAAAAAGCAGTTCGATCAACATTGCTGATATTTATTACAAAGAGATAACAGTATTTACTTTTGATAATTATAAATTGAATAAGATCATTGAAAAATGGCCACATTTATGCTTTTATTTCTGATAATTTTTCTTAATAATGGTTTGGATTTTTGACCAAATAAACACAGATCTTAAAAGATAAAATAAGTTTATTTTGAGCTCGGGTACAAAGTCACCAGTACCATGCACGTGGTCAGAATGACTTTAGAGGGAGACAAAAGACCAAACCTGGCAACATCTTAGTGTGTCTCCACACTAAGTGTTGCCAGGTTGGCCACGTACTCTCTCCCCAGTGACAATGCTCAGGAATTTAGAAGGGAAATGTACAGTTCACCCAGAATGAATTGTCAGTGGACAAGGTGCCTTGTTTTGTGTGGTCTCATCCAGTGGGTGGTTGTTTCTGTCCACAGATCCATTGTCATTGTTAGGAATGGTGGAGAGATGGTCATATCTTTCAGAAAAAAAGCAGGTTTGAGGCAGTCAATTGAAATAGTTTGTTTCCCTCAAGGTGTATCTAAATCGAAGAGTTTGTCTGAGTTTCATAGGACATGAAAGGGGCCATCATAGATGGTTGTAATGGTTTGCATGAGTTATTGTGGCAGTCATCAACTCAGAGTGTAAAAAAATATTTTTAGACGAATGGTGGACATCTTTGACTGGGCAGATCGACCTCATACGTTCCTTCAACTTGCAGATCAAGGTAGGTAAGTCATTGGCTGGAGTAGTCTCATGGTCAGTGAGGAGATCAGAAGGCAGTGCGATGGGTTTGCCGTATGTGACCTCCACAGCTATAGTGTTGTAGTTAGGGATGACATAAGATCTTAGCCCAAGAGGATGGTTGGGAGTAGGGTTTCTCAAATGGGATCCCGGGATCCCGGTTGTTTTTTTAACCCGGGAAATTTTTCTTATCCCGGGAAATCCCGCAAATTTCTTAAAAATTCACTTTTTTTCTTATTTTGTGTTAAGGTTGAGGAATTTTGCAAATAGAAAGCATAATTAACTCATAAACTGTCAGAATACATTTGTATTTATCAATTTTAAACCTACTTATTAGTTTCTTAAGTTTTTGCTCGTCACAAATGGTCAATAATCAATACATAGCTTATTTGTGTTATGACTCTCAAAATTCTTTACTTGTTGGAACCTGTAATATCTGGAATAATTGTGCTTATGCTGTCTTAATTTTTAACCATGCCCAATAGCTTCGATAACGCGTAACACCATGTTGTACGATGTCTGTAAGTACGAAGTTTTTCTTCATAAACCTGATGATCAAAGACAAACTAACTGACGAATTATTGGGCTATAAGCTTGATGTTTCTATTAAAGCAGTCGAAGTAGACAAATGAAGAATACTAGAGAGCAAAAGAAGTATTACAACCTCGAAAACGAACTCGAAATCTTCCAGGCTACAGGTGAAAAAACACATAATATCTGTCTTCTCTTAAATGCATTAAACACTATTCCAATCACATCAATTGAATCGGAAAGGGCATTCTCGGTGGCAAGACTTTTCATTACTAAAATAAGAATTAGAGTGAGTTATCGGAGTATTGACCATCTTTGCTTTTTAAAATCTTATAAAAGTTTGCAATATTTTGTATTATATTTTATTTAAAAAACGAAAATTACCTTCTAAATTAGAAGTTCATTTTTTTTAATTTTTAACTCAACTCAAAACATTTTTTTTTTTTTGTTGTTGTATGCAGTTTCCAGCAAACTTTAATTAATTTTTTTCTATTTGTGAAAATTTCTACGTTATTTAAAGGTAATTTTTATTATAGGCCTATAGACCTTACACAGCATTATTAATATGATTTTGGAGGTTACAGAACTTTAAAATTACTTTAAAAAATGGAAAATAATTATATCATTTGATTTCAAGATATTTTGTATACCTTAAAAATAATTAATTCTATCCCGGGATTTTCCGGGATCCCGGGAAACAGTTCACTTTTATCCCGGGATCCCGGGACAAGCAAAAGACCGGGAAATGAGAAACCCTAGTTGGGAGTTTAACAACCCAATTATCGGTCAGTTGAGCTCTTAGCAAGGACTTGAGCTGACGATGCCACCATTCACTCTTTCTGTTTCTGGCTGGGTGGTATGCCATTGTCTTAATGTTGTTAATTCCCAGGGC